CGCCAGGTGCGCACCATCGTGGAGGAGGTCCAGGACGGGAAGGTGATTTCCTCTCGCGAGGAGGTCCACCAGTCTCCCCGTTAAGGCTGCCACCTGGCTTGAACACAGGCCAAACCTCCCCCGGTGAAGTGAAAGGAGCTTCCAGCTTAAATGCTCTGGCTACGCAGGCCTGGCAAAGCATCTGCCCTCTCTTGCCATCCTGCCACTGCTTCCCTCAGCACGGTGCTGCACGCGCGGATCAAATAAAGCTTTTCTTCTCCTTTGTGCACCCTCGAGTCTGGTCTCCTGTCTCTGAAGAGAGGTCCAGCTCTGGAGCTGCTCCCCAAAGGAGCTGTGGTTTGTCTGGGTCGCTGGCCCCAGGGCCAGCACTTCCTTGTCAGCCAGAGCCAGGGAGCTCAGTGTGGATGGAGGTCCAGAGAAAGCAGGGTCTCAGGAGGTGACATGTTCTCAGTGGTGGCCAGTGACAGGACAAGGGGCAACGGGTGTAAGCTGCAACACAAGAAGTTCCCTCTCCATGTGAGGAGGAACTTCTTCACTGTGAGGGTGCCAGAGCCCTGGCACAGGCTGCCCAGGGAGGCTGGGGAGTCTCCTTCTTTGGAGGTCTTCCAAACCCACCTGGATGCCACCCTGTGCCCCGTGCTCTGGGTGTCCCTGCTGGAGCAGGGGGTTGGACTAGATGATCCCTAGAGGTCCCTTCCAACCTCAACCGTTCTGTGATTCTGTGTTGTCAACGAGTCTCTGTATTTCATCTCGGGTTTGGGGCCTGGGACTTGCAGCCTGGGGCAAAGTGCTACCTGCCAGGCCGCCATGTCCTGCGGAGCTGGCTCTGAACCTTAACTCCGTGAGTCCAAGGCAATCAGTGAACAAAGGGGCAGGTGCCGCAGCAGGGGCCCTGCAGATTCCTCCTCTCTTACAGCTGCCTCCTCCTCCTCCACCTCCTCCTCACCGTGCAGCCACACGCTGCAAAGGAGGCAAGGCCCATGTAGAAGGGAGGCCCCGGCTGCCCCACTCCCCAGGGAGCAGCGGCTGCTCAGGAAGCGCCGCCGCAGGCGAGGACACGCGAGCGGTCACGCAGCCGCGTGCCCGCACGGCAGCCACGCAGCCGCGGCGCCCGCACGGCAGCGCCGGCCCGGCCCAGCCGTTCCTGGAAAGCCGGTTCAGACACATTCTTGGCTGGATTCTGCTGTGCTCACTGCTCCATAAATCAAACCTCCACATCAGCGGGATGATTCAGATGGCTGCGCTATGGCATGCGAGTGCCCTCAGAGCGGGCCACGGAGCTTTAAGGGCCCTTTCCAGGGAACCCTGGGGTGACCAGAGGGCCCCCTTCCCCACAGGGCTGCAGGGACCCCGTGGTGCCCGATGCCGGAGCAGGGGTGAGCAGTGCAGGGGAGCGCCGGGCAGGGAGTCCTGGTTGACACCAAGTTAACCATGAGTCAGCAGTGTGCCCTCGTGGCCAAGAAGGCCAACGGGATCCTGACTGCATCATGAGTGTTGCCAGCAGGTCAGGGGACGTCGTTCTGCCCCTCTACTCAGCTCTGGTGAGGCCGCACCTGGAGCACTGGGTGCAGTTCTGGGCTCCCCAGTATAAGAGGGACGTGGAGCTTCTCGAGAGGGTCCAGAGAAGAGCAACCAGGATGATTAAGGGAATGGAACATCTCTTGTACGAGGAGAGGCTGAGTGAGATCCCTTCCAACCTTGAATATTCTGTGATTCTGTGAGGCTCAGGGACACGGCAGGAGGTCCCGATGCCTTGGGAACCTCCTCTGCCCTCCGGCGCCCTGGGATCGCACCTGGCACTGCGGGCCTGGGCAGCCCACGCTGGGCTGCTGAGAACATGGCCCCCGTGGGCCACGGCGGCTTCCGAGGCCACCAGCGTGGAGCTGCTGGAGGCACCTGCCATCCCTCCCGCCTTCCTCTCCTCCCGGAAAAGCCTCCGCACACCTGTGTCGCCATGGGAGCAGCAAACAACCGCCGACACCCAGGAATTCCTGCTTGAAGGAGGTGCTGCCGCCCGCCTGTGTGGAGCGGGGCCGCCCGGCCTGGCCCACAGCAGCTCCAGGGACATTGCCAAAATGGCCTTTTATTTCAGAAACACATTTGACTTCTCCAATTAAACTGAATTCCCTTGACATACGAGAGCACTTTAAGAAGAGACAACACGCTGTGGCTTTTCAGCTTGTTTTAGGAAAGTTTCTTATGATCATTTGGTCCAAAGACAAACGTTGCAAGCGTGCTAAAGCACGCAGGAATGTTTATGTGCCGGGGCAGTTTCCTCTCCTGGGCCTGCTGCGGTGTGTTTGAAGCCAGAACTTCACCTCTTCTCCTCCTGAAGACACAAGCGCATTTTGAATACCAAAGGGTTTCTATAAAATTACTGTTAGGGCAATTTGAATCCTGGTTTTGCAACGTGTGAGATGGCTCCCGGTGCGCGTGCCAGGGCAGGACGGGATCTATTGACCCGGGACCGGCACCCTCCATGGCAGGCAGGCCTTGCAGGGCTCGGCCCCGTGCTCTGTGTCCTTCCCATTCCCATTCCCATTCCCATTCCCATTCCCATTCCCATTCCCATTCCCATTCCCCCTGCATTCAGGGCAGGGAGGAGCAAGGGGAAGTCATGCAGTTGGAAGCTCCCTCAAAACGTGCCCACGGAGCTGATTTCCATACCCCCCTGCTTCTGGCAAGCCATCTAAGGAACCGCCTCGCTGAGGGCAGCGGCTGTTGGGGCTTGTCGGGGAGCGCGGCAGGCACACGCCAGCGGGACCCGCTCCCCCGCGCGCCGGGACTGCTGCACGGCGCTCGGGCCGCGCTCCCGCCGGGGCCGCTCCTGGGTGCCGGCCTCGGCCGCGCTCGGCCTCGGCCCCCCCAGCCTTCGGCACCCAAGCGGTGCCCACGGCTGGTGCGGAGCAGCATCCACGAGCGCTGGCCTCGCACCCACGCCGTGCTCTGCTCGCTGCTGCTGTGTCCGTGACTCCTTCCTGCCGGCGCTCCCTGTTCCCAGCTCATGCAGCACAGTGTCTCAGAGACACCCTTGATTTGCTCTGTGCACTTCCGCACATTTGCTGGAGAATCCCATGGGGTTTAGGGTGCTTCGGCTCACAGGCAGATGCTGCCCTTACCGAGCAGCCCACAGGGCTTGGGAGCAAGGCCAGGAGCTCTGCTCCCCTCCGCAGTGCTCGCTGCGTGCAGAGATGGGCCCTGGAGGACGAGCTCCCCCGGCACCACTGTGGCTGCTGAGAGAAGAGGGGCTCTCACTGCCAGGAGCTGCCCCCGGCCCTGCTGCCCCAGGGCTGCAGACGTGCGCCCGGGGTCCCCGTGGGGCCTGGGGTCCCCGTGGGGCCCGGGATCCCCGTGGCAGGAGGGCCAGGGCTGGGTGCTGTGCAATGGAGACAGGGCCGGTGGGAGCTAATGCACGGAGACGGTGCAAGGGAGATGCTGACTTATTGCAGCGGAATGCAGCCCTGGGAGCCGGGCGCGCGCCGTGCCGAGCTCCTGAGCGGCATTAAAGCATAGCCCTGAGCCACGAGCCGCCTGCTTTAATCACACCTGACTGTTTTCTTGGAAACGGAAGAAGGATAAAAACTCCCTCTGAGCCAAAAAATGTTTCAAGGGGAGGATGACTGGAGCAAAGGCAAAAAGAGACAATTCTGGGAGTTGGCCCAGGTTTGAGTGATGAAAATCGTAAGGAATGCAACGGAAAAAAGGAAGGTGGGGGCAACGCCTCCCGGCGGGGCTATAAAGGGCGGCGCGGCGGGGAGGGCGGCACTCGTCCTGCTGCCCCGGCTCTCGCACCGCAGGCTCCCTCCGCCGCTCGCCATGGCCACCACGCTGCGGCACTTCTCCTCCTCCACGTCGCTGCAGGGCTCGGGYGCCGCGGGCAGGGCGTCCGGCGGGCCCTGCCGAGCCCCCAGCCTCGGCGGCAGGGCCAGCACCTACTCGCTSTCGTCTCGCACCGTGGTGGCCGGGCTGGGGGGCAGCCTGGCCGGGGGCTTCGGCGGCGGCTACTGCGCGGGCCTGGGCAGCGGCTATGGGGGCGGCCTGGGCAGCGGCCTCGGCGGCGGCTTCGGCGGCGGCTTCGGGGGCGTCTTTGGCGGCGGCGAGGGCATCCTGCAAGCCGGGGAGAAGGAGACGATGCAGAACCTCAACGACCGCCTGGCCGCCTACCTGGACAAAGTGCGAGCCCTGGAGGAGGCCAACACCGACCTGGAGGTGAAGATCCGCGAGTGGTACAAGAAGCAGGCGCCCGGCCCCGAGCGCGACTACAGCCCCTACTACCGCACCATCGAGGAGCTGCGCAGCAAGGTAGGAGGCTGCAATAACCAAGTGCTATCATTAAAATCCGTTTTTTCCAAAATTACCTTGTATCTGGAAGCGAAAGGGTTGGTATTCATTGACAGGAATTGCTCTGAGATGGGAAAACAAAGAGTAAGACTGAAAATAAATGTTGGTGCTGCCTCAGCAGGCTCCAGACCAGGTACTCTGCAGGCAGGGACATGTTGGGTCTTTGGTATCTTTGATGTCTTTGATACTTGGTATCGCTCTCTTCTGCAAAATGGTGCAAGCAGGGATGCCCAGTAGCTTTCCTAAGGATGCCCGAGTTCACATGAGTCACTTAGAGCATTTCAGGAGGTGAAGACAGGGGGAGCGTTCGAGGGCTTCAGTGTGTGCACTGTGCTCTGAATCGCCCCAGGGGAAAGAAGAGCTGCCCCCGTAGCTTTGTTCATAGCAATCAGTATCAGCCCTGCTACTGTTGTGTCCCAAGCTACTCACGGGCCCTCGGGCACGTCCTGAGGGCAGGTGACAACATCCTTAGTCAGCCTAGACCCCCTGGAAGGGGAAGGGAGACACTTGGGAGCCGTGCAGGGTAAAGACACCCCTGCTCCGGTTTGGGAATGCCGGGAAATGGGGCTGCTGGTCACCCCAGGAGCAAACGACGTCCCGCTGGTTTTTTTCAGCTCTTTTCCCTTCTCGGAGGCTTCACAGCTCATGAGCCACAGAGCTGCCCTGAAATCCAGCTTAGGGGAGCGCTGGGATCCAGCACAGGACAAACGTGGAGGCAGGAGCTTCCGCCAAGATCCTGGCAATGAATTAGGGGGTCTCATCACGTTCATGCTTGTTCTTGACTATTAATACTCCTTTCCTGCACTATTGCTATGATTTTCCCTGAGGCACCAGAACTCAGTGAGTGTTTTTCATTAGCCTGTGGCTAGGAATTTTTCCGTTTAAATTGCCCAATCATTTTCAAAGTGCCAGAGCAAATATTTGCACTGCAGGTATAACAACAACAGCACAGTGCTTCAGAAACAAGGTCCTCCTTCCTCATTGATTTTCCTTCTCAGCTGAGCGGTGCTGCATTTCCAGACACAGCCCAGGGCTGCAGGGAGTGATTCAGGGAGTGCTGTGTGTGCCTGAGAGGTCATTTCTGTGGGGGGAACAAACCGTGGCCTCTTCAGCATCTCCTCAAGACTGAACTAGTGAAGACTCTAGCCTGAATTAGTGCCAATGAAAGCTTAAGCTGGAGTATCTTATCCTTGTGCAAGTGCAGCCTGGGGACAGCGGGTTCAGTGCTGCTCCTAGGCAGGAGCTCAGCAGCAACAGTCTTTTTGAAATTGTTTTCCACTCCTTCTCATCCTCATTTTTTTGCCCCCAGATTCTTGCTGCAACTGTTGAAAATGCCAACATAGTCCTGCAGATCGACAACGCCAGGCTGGCCGCTGATGACTTCAGGACCAAGTGAGTCTAAGGCTCTTAGCAGGAGGGCACACAAGGGAGAGCTGCTCTGTTTGCGGGTCCCACAGCTCTGCGGGCCTGGCCTTGCCCAGCTCTACGCCAAGCACCAACGGTGCAACCTACGGAAGAGAACATCCCTCCTGGCCAGAGCATGCTGTCCTCATGCCACTGCACTGTGCAAAGCTGCACATGCACTTACGATAAAATTTAACAAAAACTAACTAATTAACTAACTAAAATAGGCCAAATGGGGGAAGGAAGCAAGACACAAAAGGTCCCCATCAGGTGGGCTCCAAGGTCTGACTGTCTTCTTGCTGCCAGGTTTGAGACGGAGCAGGCTCTGCGCCTGAGCGTGGAGGCCGACATCAACGGCCTGCGCAGGGTCCTGGACGAGCTGACCCTGGCCAGGGCGGACCTGGAGATGCAGATCGAGAACCTCAAGGAGGAGCTGGCCTACCTCAAGAAGAACCATGAGGAGGTGAGCAGAGCAGGGCACAGCGGGGACTGCAAAGTGAGCCCTGGGCTATGCCAAGGGGATGCATCCCATGTGCAGGACAGGCTCTGACATGAGGGCAGTCAGGAGAGACCACATTGGGGATGTCCTTTGTCCTCATGCAAAGGACATCAACCATGTAGATGTGGTGGACACAGGATGGGGAGCATACTCATGGGCTTCACTAATATGCTGCAAAACTCCCAGTTGACAATTTCGTTCTTTCTAGAGATAGCAATTCTAAAAGAAACTTTGGTGCATTTTTTTGCGTTGAGTGTGAGCAGACCTGTCAGGATCGGTTATGGTAGGAACACACTGCTACCATTTCGATGCGTATAACACATGTGTTGCCCCAGGAGATGAACGCCCTGCGTGGGCAGGTGGGCGGCGAGATCAGCGTGGAGATGGACGCTGCTCCCGGAATCGACCTCACCAAGATCCTGGCGGAGATGAGGGAGCAGTACGAGACGCTGGCCGAGAAGAACCGCCGCGACGCCGAGCAGTGGTTCTTCAGCAAGGTGAGCGGCGGCCGGGCGCGCGGCGGGCGCGCGGGGCCACGGCCGCCTCCGCCCTGACCCTCGTCGCCGCAGACGGAGGAGCTCAACCGCGAGGTGGCCATCAACACGGAGCAGCTGCAGAGCGGCAAGACGGAGATCACGGAGCTGCGCCGCACCATCCAGAGCCTGGAGATCGAGCTGCAGTCGCAGCTGAGCACGGTAGGGGCGGCGCGGGCGCGCGCGGGGCCCGCGGGTGGCCCGTCCCACCGCGCGGCCGCCCCCTGAGCCGCCCACCATCCCTGCAGAAAGCGGCGCTCGAAGGCAGCCTGGCCGACACCGAGGCCCGCTACGGCGCCCAGCTGGCCCAGCTGCAGGCCCTCATCTCCAGCGTGGAGGAGCAGCTGGGCGAGCTGCGCTGCGACATGGAGCGCCAGAACCACGACTACCGCCTGCTGCTCGACGTCAAGAGCCGCCTGGAGCAGGAGATCGCCACGTACCGCCGGCTGCTCGAGGGCGAGGACGCCCAGTACGTGCGGGGCACCGCGGATGGGGAGGGGATGCCCGTGCAGCGAGAGCCGGGGATGGCGAAGGCAGAAATTGCACGGAAAGGCTTGTCTTAGAGTGGGAGTTTTAAGGGGAATCAATCAAATTGCTTCAGAGGGTCAAAATAAGCCCTACTGCATTGCACTGAGGCACTGAACATTATTGGGCTATGTTCTCCAGAACCGCTTGCTGTTGCTTTAGGGTATAAGATTCTTAACCACTTTTTGACTTGTTTTCCTCCCCTTCCTGGATACGAAGCCTGTGAAACAAGAGCAGCAGAATTTGGGCTTACCCCCTCTTTTCCTTCTCCCCTTGCAGCATCTCCTCGCAGTACTCGTCTGCCGTGTCCTCCCACTCGGGCAGAGACGGTAAGAGCAGCTCCTGCTTCACCACCTCTAACAGCGACTCCAGGTCCTGCCACACAGCACATCTGTGCGGAGGGGGAATAACCCCCAGTTTGAATCGCATTTGCAACAGGAATGACTGGCCTAAGTTCACCTTGTGCCTGAGCAGCCAGACAATCTTCTAGCTTTACACAGACCCAAAAATCAGACAACGGCTACAGATCTAAGACAGGGTTTTCCCCCCAGTTCGGTGGTCGTCTCAGCCCAGATCTTCATTCTTCTTAATTAAATCCAGTGCTAACAAGAAAATGGGCAAAAGACCACATAGAATTCCCCGTGTCTTTATTAAGCCCGTGCAACATTCATTAATGCACCAAGAAGCTTTTCCTTCCTGCACGCACAAATATTGTTTCTCACTTTGCTTTTGCAGTCACCACAACGTCTCGCCAGGTGCGCACCATCGTGGAGGAGGTCCAGGA